AGAAGATCATAAACATCTGAGATTATTCTATTCTAAGTAAAGAATAAGATTGATTAATAAAACTATAGCCAACTGCTTCACTATCTAATCTTAAAGAGAAGTATATGACTCTTTTTTTAAAGACAATTAGTGATATTTATAATATTTTAGAGTATTATATACAGCATTATATTTATTTGAGATTGAACACAATTATTTTTATAATATTAATATGTTTAATCTTTCCTATAGTTACTAATATAATTGTACATGATAGTGCTCTTCCAGTGTCACTCAAATAACTACATCTATTCAATTATAAAATTTATTGAAATTGTAGAATCTTGGGAGATACTTGGAGTTATACAATAGATAATGTTCTTAATATTGTTATAAAATTTCATACAACTAAAGAGTCTAATAGTGAGCCTAATACTTTTGTTCAAGTATCAGCTTATTGATAGATTTGAGACATTATTTGGATGTATGCCTGTTTTAGGGCTTTTGGAGTTTCAGAAAATTATGAATTTAAACATATCAATATAGGTCCTGCTAATCAATTAATTGGTTAATAATAAAAAACGTTATCATGATTTAAATTTTGATAATTGTTGGATTTATGAGTAAATAGTTTGGTATCATAAAATAGAATGTATTGCCTCATAATGCAAATTTAGTTTTGACATCAAACAAAAATGCATATTGTTATCTTCACGTTGAACTAAAAGGGAGTTTAGTAATAATAGGAAGTAAAAGAATTCAATAATGTTAGAAAAGAACAATGTTCTTTTAATCTTATCAATTTGATTTTTAGGGTTCTAGGATTTGTAGCTATGCTTTCCAGCGATGCTAGCGATGAGTGCTTACGAATCCAGCTGGGGTCAGGGCTGGGACGCAGCAGCAGGTGCGGCGGCCAGGCAACGCGATGTAGATTTTGAGGGTTTTGGAGTCTCTGAGCCAGCAGCGGAGCTCAATGTGATAGAATTTCTAGACAGCCTCGAGGATGTAGAGAGGGTTTCTTCTTGTGTAGCGGCAGCGGCAGCGGCAGCGGCGCCTTCAGAGAATCATCACCAGGCGCCACGAGATAATTCTGGATCGCTGGAATCCTACGCTTTCAATGCTGCCGCTTACGATCTGACCGTCAAGTGCTTGGATTCTGGCTCCAAGCCAAGCGAGGCGCAGATCAAGAAGGCCGATCCAAGCTTCCCGGAGAAGCGGAGGAACAACCGCGCTGTGGCCGACGCTCTCTTGAGCCGATGGAAATCCCTGTCCAGCGCTCTGGTGGTGATGGACGTGGAAAGCGATGGGATCAAGCGCCGACGCTTGAGCTCCAAGTGGGATAAGTTAAGAAGGATCATAGCTTACAGAGAGGAGTGGCCTTTCGTCGTCGATAAGTTCCATGTCGAGGCTGGCAGTGGATCGTGTCTAAACCTCCGCGACACTGTCAAGAACTTGGGGCTGTTCTACGTTACTGGGAACAAGAAGCATGGCATCCCGGAGGATTTCATCAAGGCCAGGATTGGAGAGTGCCCGAAATGCGATGACCAGCTCCACGAGTCCCCGGCTAGCAAGCGTCTCCGCAAGAACTTGCCTGAAAGGTGGCCGGAAGTTCACACTGTTCCTTGGCAGCATCTGGATGATTTCATCGAGGGTCTTTGTATCCGGCACAGGGTATCGCTGCGAAAGGAGAGCACGTACAGGATCGCCAGTCCTGAGCCTTCGATCGTCACCACCTGGGTTTGTGCCCGTGGTTTTCGAAAGCAGGAAGGAGCCGATTCCTCAAGCAAAAATGTTGGTGCTACTCATCAAGGATTACCATGCACTTTTCGAGTACGTACTCTCATTCCGGTGAGGATCTCTCAGTTGCCCGAGCTCAACCCGGAGTTTACAGAGCCAGTAAACTTGCCGGAGAGAACAGCCTCCGTGGATTCGTCGGAGGACTTTCTTGGCTCCAAAAGCTCGAGCCAACTTCCAGATTTCCAGGACGGCCATGGGAGTTACTTTGAGCAAATGCAGGCAAACAGCCATTTTCTAGATTCGAGCAATATCTTGGTGACAGTACTTCTCAACAGGGCACACAGGGGGCATAATCCCAATGACAAAGAAGATTACGTTAACTTTCCCGTCCATTCGTCGGCAAAAGAAGCTGCTTTGTACGAGTTTGACTTGTCCTGGGACGTGATTTCGGTTGCAAGAGCGTCGTTGCGGATGGATATGCTACTCAAGTCCAGAGCTACGGACCTTGACAAAGCTACCTTTCGCTTTCATCTGATCCCGAAAGAGGTGGCGCAGTTAACCATGGAGCTGAACTCTCAAGGTTTGTCGGTTTTTTCGTTCTTTTATGGTCCAATGTTTATCTTCCTGCCTGATACAGCTGGGTTTTGTACCGCTTTCTTTTAGGCAAGATCTCAAGCAGCGATTGGGTCCGGTTGCTCAAGGAGGTTGACGCACACAGGAAAAAGAAGACTGTGATTTTTTATCAGCAGTATGACGTTTTTAATCCCGTGGAAGAGAAGCAGCCGTTCGTGTGTGTCATCATGACTCCATGGATGCGAGAAATGGCTGAAAGGTCTTGCTTTCATTTCTTATGTTCTTCATTCTTCTTATAACGACGTTTGTTTTTCTTGTAAAGGTTTTCTGCGGGTAATGTTTGGGCCCTCGACTCGACTTTCACAACCTGTATACGGGGTCTTCCATTGCATGCGGCAGCCGTTCCTAATCAGGTGCCTTACTGTCTCTATCTCTATTTTGTTATGGTTTTTGATCACGTCTTCCAGGACGGCATTGGAATGCCAGTGTTTTTCATGATGTGCTCGGCTGACACGGGGTCAAGGCACGAGAGCATTGCCTTGAAGCTGGCATTGACAGCAGTTTTGAAGCAGCTGTCTGTGAGGCCAGCTGCAATTTTGATTGATAAGTCGCGGCTGAGCTTTGACGCTTTGTTCAGTGTTGTCTCTCGGGATGAGAAATGCTGGAGGGACGGTAAGCAGATCGCTTGTCGACTACTGCTTTGCTGGTTTTGCGTGAAAAGAGCTTGGGTTGAGAATCTTCTCCCACAGGTGAAAACCTTTTTTCGTTGTAACTATTTCCTGATTGCTTGCAGCAGGTCGCATCGGAAATGAGAAAAGATGTGTATCGCCAACTGGATGGAATGATGATGGCCCCTTCTGAAGCCGATTTCGATAATCTTTGGAACAAATTTAAGGTAGTTCTGTCATGTTTCTGTCTTGAGTGGCCTGTTTTTGTTTTTGATGCACAGGAGGACTATGGTGGTTTTAAGGAGATTGTGGATTATCTGGAAATGGGATGGTTGGGCTCTCATTGTGCTTGGCGGAGAATTTGGCCGACTTTTGGCAGGTTGTTCGAGCATGGAAACGTAGAGACAATCAACATAGTGAGTTACTTCTGGCTCTTCATCAAGTATTCCTTGTTTGGAGGGCGTATGAACCAGAGCAATTGTGATCTTCTTCTGGCTTTGGTAGGAAGCGCCCTGACAAGCAGTAAGCCAGAGGGTGGTACGCTGGAGGAGTTTTTTCGGCAGAGACACGTCCTTTGTATCCACCAGTCTTTTCCTTTCTTTCGAGTCCTTAACACTTTCTCAGGTGATTCGAGGCGCTATCACAGTCAATCGAGCACTTCGGCGGAGCGCAAGCGCTTGGCTGCTGCAGAACGCTTTTTGGCTCAATACAACAATAACCGAGCATGTTTCGAGGTACTCAGCGAGCCGGGTTTTCTTTTCAGAGTTCACGGCTGCAATGGTGACACGGCCAAGTCTCACGTCGTCAACCTCCTCACAAACTTCTGCGACTGCCTCGAGACGATGTTCACTTGCGAGCACCTCCTCGCTGCAAGGCTGGTTGTCCGCCACAACTTCGTCAGTATGTACGGGCTGCTGGAAAGGAGAAGCAACGAGCGTGACGAGCCATTGACTCAAGTGGAGGACATCGACTTGGCATATCTGGACGAGAGCTGCGAGGATCACCCGAGAGCCACAGGTCTTAGCTGCGAGCTCGATGGAGAACGAACAGGAGGATCGAGCGAGTGGGACAGTCTGGTCCAGGAGATTGCTCACGTTCAGATGCAGCTCAGTAACTTACAGGCTTACTGCGAAGACCAACTTATCGAGCCGCCGGCCGAGCTCTCGTTGCTCCTCTCCTCGCAACTCAAGTCGCTAAGAGCCTTCACCGGGGCCGAAGGCAGCAGTAAAACAGAAATCACTGGTGACAGCCGCGTCGGGATCATCCAGGAACACCTCAAGGCGTGCAAGCTCCAGCCTGTCAAGTGCTGCGTTCAGCTGAAGAAGGCTCCATCTCTCCCGGCACAGAATCCGCAGCAGAGAGGAGCAAGCTACGCTCACGCGCAGACGCTCGTCCATCCGCGGCTGGGCTACGTTCACTATTACAAGCAGCTCAAGCCCGCAAAGATCAACAGGCTCAAGTGCGTGTCCTGCGGAGTCTACAACGTTGTGGGAGGATCCTTTGAGGTGACCGAGTGTAAGAACTGTAGCAGGTATTTTATATTATGAACACTAACGAACGTATTGAATGAATTTACATTAGAAATGATGTCTTTTTAACTTCAAATTTTTGTAATCTTCTCAGCTTTGATAACTGGGTTAGCTTTGGAAATATCCTTTCTGCCTTTATCACGGTAGTCATAGTGGCAGGAATGATCTTCAGGATGGCGATGTTTCGCACAAAATACTAGCTCACATCTGCATTTGAATACCATGGAAAGAGTAATTTTCTTACTGCACAATATGCAACGATTAGGATCAGCTTTTGCCTCAGGACCAATTTCTGCTTCTGCAACACTTATTTCTACTTCTCCAGCACCACTACCACCTACTTTTACATTTGCTACGTCGGGATGCAAAATCTTTCCACCGCCACCTTCAATTTTCTTGGCCTTGGATGCTTTGATCGACTCCTTAAAGCACTTGGAGCACAAATTACCCGTCCCTGGGTTGGCGTAGTATCCACAATTGTTTGCGCATCTTGCATGATCAAGGGACGCGTCAATGTCAGCCATGATTTATGATTATAGGGCTTGCGGGCCACACCTCCTTTATATACGCGCAAGGGCAACTAAAAATGGATGGAGCATATTCCGTCAGCGGAACCAGAATATGCCACCAGCGGCACAGAACATTCCGTTGCGCATCTCCTCTAGCGCTTCTTCTTCTTGTCGGGCTTCTTGCCCTTCTTGTCGAACTTGGGCACGCTGTTGGTGATGACGGGGATGTTGTTCATGGAGCCGAGGCTGCCGTACTTGCGGCGGAACTTCTCGAGCTGGTCGGTGGTCATGACGACGCCGGACTTGCCGCCCTGGTAGAAGGGGTGGTTCCCGGACCAAATGTCCACCACGTACTCCGCCTGGGTGCCGCCCGTCGTCATCACGTGCTCGCCCTTGCAGAATACCTTGGCCTCGCTGAAAAACGCGGGGTGGATGTCGGGCTTCCGGCACACAATCCGGGCATCCCCGCGCTCCACCTTGGATTGCAAGCTGCGGTGAATGGTCCTGGAGAAATGGGGAGGGGAGAGTGTACCTGCAGTGGCAGGGAGCCAGTGGCGAAGCTCGATGGAACAGCACGAGCAAACATGGTCGCGGACTGATGACCTAAAACCCCGCAGATAAGGTATATTTTGTTATGGCTTATGGATATTCTAGGCATGGTAAACATATAATAACTAGTAATTTGCCCAGCCACAGTCCTTGATTTATGAATGCTCAAACTTTGCCATTATGATTCATTCCCACCCCTCTATTGGCAGTAACACCCTTATGTACACTGAGACTTCATAAAAGGAAGCTGGACAGAGATACATGGGGATGATTTTTAACTGGATCAATTGTTGGAGTCATTCCACATATGTAAGGGTGATGTGTGGAATAACAACTCAAGAACCTTTAAATTGTGTTGTCTTAACGATTGTTTCAATTATGAAATATCTGAAACTTAAGGTGGATAAGACAGGATGATAAACAACTGACCCACTTTGAGCTCTTAAAAAGTGGTACGTCTTCCAGCCATTTGTATCCTCTCCCCAGAAAAAAGGTCATCAGCCTGTAAACAATATGATCTCCCCAGACATAAACCACAGGGCAAGTTCAAATGAACACGGCCACTGGGAAGGTGAGTATGAGGATAAGGAGAACTATGCGGGTACATGCATTTCATAGCTACTTTGGTGACGCCTTGTCACCAGATCTGTCAACTCTCACAATCCCAGCCTTTGGACCAATGCCCCAAATATCCCAAGGAAATTCCTCAAAGGTCGACTTTACGTTGCATTGCTTTGCTGGATAAGAATTCCAACGAACCCAGCCAATGACGCAAATGAGGATGCTCTCAAGCTTCCCTAGCTAATAAATTCTATAATTTGAAAAAATGAACATTAGAGAATGCAGCTTGGATTTGAGAAGCTGCTGAACACTCAAGTTTCCAGCTGCTGCCTCCTCACGCCCTGTGGAGGACACGCCTTCAACCTTTCTTGAGTCTCTGCGGCAAATACTTCGCCTTTTCTGAAACCAAGTGAACTGTAAGAGTGTAAAACTAGTTGAAGAAAATGGTGTCAACATTTTTGGTTGTTGTTCGCTCTTAAGCAACAAGCCGTTTTTAGAAGAGAAACAGGAGAATTCTCTACGCTCTCAACTCCAGTCCTGATTGTGAGCAATCACGTCTCCTACAGCCATCACGACTGAGAGAATTCTTCACTAACCTGTGAGGAAAGTAAAAAGTCCAAAATGCTGGCTTGGGAAATTGGATCGGACAAAGATAAGATAGAATTTCACAATGCGATTAGGGCACCACAGATGGGAGCGAAGCAAAATGTGCACTATAATGTGTGTTTTGCAAATTGTGGTTCACAGGCAACAGCAGTGCTCCTGGGAGCTTGGGAGCTCCATTGCTCAAGCCGTCTCTGTGTCAACACACAGCATAGGTGGGGTTCCAACCAATAGTAAACCAAGCCATGCCAATTTTCCATTAAAAATCCACAAAACTTTTACTAAAACCATGCATCCTGAGGCTGCCCCAGGCCTAGGACCAGACGGCTTTGGGGGAGGTTAAGCTCTTCGTTTTTATATATGTAGATAACGAAAGAAGTAGAGAATGTTTTCAATATGTAACTTGAGCAAAATAACACATTTTTAAAAAATAAAATAATAAAACAGAGAGACCCATGTCTATAGGAGTTTAATTCAATAGTCATTTACAGCTTTTGATGCTACAAGGAAGTTGGTCATAATTATTTTGCAAGTGCAAGATATAAATGCTTGTCCACTCCAGCTATGTAGAAGGGAAGAAATTATTAGACTAGAATTGCCCTTTTCTAGCCCATATAAAAGAAAACAATGTTATAAATAATTCTTTTTTGCATCCTCATCATTGCCAGCAAGTGATGAACTCTTCATGAATCTTTATGACTAAGTTAATTAAGCATACCTTCAAACCAAAAGAAAAAGTATAATTGCATCCATGGTAATAGAGGTTTAATTGCTAGATTTTGGCAACTAGCTAGTAGATTTATTGAAAACATAATATAAAGGTATTTGAATGTATGTATATTGCCTTGCACTTGGATTATGAATATTAAACTTAAACCATTTTGTTAGCATTGTTCCATTATGTGCTGCTCTTTGCAAGGCATTGTGCTCCAAGCCTTCTGTAAAATATATATTGGATGCTTTAGAACTGTTATTATGTTGCTTTATGCTTTTATCCCTTCACTCCTTAGTGTCGCAAATGTGACTTCGGGTATCAAAAGTTACATGTCGACTAGTCCTTACGGACACTCTTACCTTACTGCCATGATGGCAGGAAGTCGGTATTGCTGGTTCCCTTTATCGGCCCCTTTTGTTCAAATGTTAGTAAACTGAACTTTACATTTGTACTTGGCTGAATGAACATAAGGAAGGAATTCCTAAGTGTCTATTTAATTGAGCATACTTGGCCCGGCTTGTTAGTTCTCTTTTGCTCTGTCTTGCACTGGCTTGACAAGAACCCTCGCGTATTGAGATTGGTCCCTTAATATCATTGGATGATAGCTTACTGTGTCTGCCAAACACCCTCGCTATCATGCTTTTTGTGTTAGTCTCATTTCGGTCCCAAGTGCTATTTATGGAAAGTGTCTAGATTTGCTCATTTGGCATATCTACGGAATGTAGAGATTGGCCTGTGTTCATCCCGTGTCCAAATTCACAATTTAAGGACATTCCATATTTAGTAAGTTTCGAGCTTGTCCTAGAGACTAACTCCTGATACTAAGGGAGGCATGGGGTGAAAGCCCAAAGCGTGTGTTCCTCAGGGGGGGGGGGGATGTGGGGGGTTCCAAATGTATAATAGGGATAGTGGGTAGGTCGGGTATGGCTGACCAACCTAAGGCATAGTCTAGCTCCTGTTTGCGTGCTTGTCCTTGTTTTGCGTCCGATTTGGGTCTAAGCCCAAGTTCCATTCCATGCTAGCTGGTGGAGTACCCATATCCTCGCGTTATGCTGAAATAGCGCCAGACTCCATTTGGCTCCGTTTTGCGTGCTAGTCCTGGCATTGGGATGCTGGTTGCTCCAAGACTGTTCCAAGTTGCTCCGGGCTCCTGTCCCTTCACTCCTTGGGCTTTATGCTTGAGAGTTGCTCCGTGGTTCGGTTTAGTCACTCCTTGGCTCCATGCTTGGGAGTTTGGCACTGTTCCTTCGTTCAATGGCCCAAAGCCTTGAACCTCGGGTTCCTATGGACACGTGGCATGGACACGTGGCATATGACACGTGGCACATAGAAGGTTTAGGTTCCGTTTCGTGGTGTTATCCTATGGTAAATCACCATAGGATAAAGTCAAAACCACGTGCGTTACACTTAGGCTGTACATTTGAGAGTCACTCCATACTCCAGTTCCTTCGCTCCTTGGCTGTAAATTTGGGAGTTTGACTCCATACTTTCATTTAGTGGCCCAAAGCTCTAAAACTTGGGTTTCGCTCTGTTGTCATTGGACACATGGGATATGGCATTTGACACATGGCACATGGGGGTTTAGGTTCCATTTCATGGTTATCCTATAGTAAATCACCATAAAATAAAGGGTAAAAGCCACATATACTACATTTGGTATTAGAGATATAATATATGCATGTTCAGTTGTTGATAAAGGCATGTATGCAACTAGCAAAATGGTGAAAATGAACTATGTTGATAATGCTAAAACCTTTAGATAAGTGAATCGAGAGAAGAAAACTCTTGCTAGAGATGCTACAAAAGAAGCTGAGGCTGAGTCAAAGGATGAAGAGCCTAATGTTGCAGCACTACAATGTACAGCTTAAGAAGTTAAGATCGAGAATTTGCAAAAGAAAGTTCATAAATTGAAAAAGAAGAATGAGAAGAGGAAAAAAGAAGCTGAGACAGCTACTAAATTCCTCTTCAAATTCTAAAGATGATGAAGTTCTACAACTAGATAGTGGGAAAGTGGTAAGGATAGTGGGTAAAGGGCATAATTGACTAACTTAAGGCATTGTTTAACTCTTTATTAGGTGTGCTTATCCTTGTTTTATGTTTGACTTGGGTTTAAGCCCAAGCTCCATACCATTCTAATTGGTGGAATATTGATATTTTCATAATAAACCACTAATATACTGAAATAATGTGAAATCTTTTTTGGCTCTATTTTGTTTATTAGTCCTGGTGTTAGGATGGTAAATGCTCTAAGACTATTCTAATGTCACTCTATATTTCTCTTTATTTGCTCCTTATACTTGATTGTTTTGTACTCCTGTTTCTTCATTTTTTAACTGTATATTTGGGAATTATCCTATGCTCATTTTTCTTTGCTCCTTGGCTATATACTTGGGAGTGTTAGTCTTTGGAATAATCTTGAAAACTTATTAAATATGGAATGGCTCTAGATTGTAAATTTGGACATGGAAATAACATAGTATATTCTACATATTCTATAGATAATAAATTTAGACATTTTCTATAAATAGCATATAGAACCAAAATGGGACCAACACATAAGACATAATAGCAATAGTTTGTAATAACCAAAAGTTAAAATATAAAGGGAAATGGCCTATAAAAATAAATACACCTTCTTTTCCAATTAATTAAAATTTTGGGATACTTGGGGTTTATTGTCTTTGGGTTTAAATAATATTAGGTTGGGTGGATTTTCGAGAAGTCTAAATTCAAAAACTTACATTTAGTATTAAAAAGGTTTTAAATCTAACTCTGTTGAATAACAAAAGGGTGCACTTTTATTCATAGATTATTTCCTTCTATATTTAAACCCTTATGTATTGTTTCTCGAGTCATTCTCTTTTAATCATTTAAGGGTTTGACAAACACAGTAAGCTATCACATAACAAAATAAAACCATTGAATACATATAACATAGTAGAATTTAAGGTTTAAAGCTTTGGCCACTGAACAAAGGGACAGAGTTAAACTCTTTAACATATAGTTAAGAAGAAAAAGAACAAAAGTATAGAATAACTCCTAAACATGTAATTAAAGAGTAAAAGAATAAAAGCATGGAGTGATATAGAATATTTCTAAAACATTTACTATTCCAATGCCAAAATCAACAATGTATTGTACGTGGTTTTCACTTTTTATTTTTTGGTAACAATGATGGGCTTGCTTTACTAGATAGTGTTGTAGTGGATTTTATTCTTGAGCTTTCATGGTTTTTCTATGAAATCCTATATCATTAAAAAATGAATTACCACATCTTAGAC